CAGATGCATATCATAAAAGTAGAATATTAGATGAAGAGATTGCTAAATCTAAAAGCTTAAAAATTTATACAAGTAATAGTTCGTTAAATGATATTGATTGTGACTCTTTTCTCTAAATGTTAACAAAGTTGAATAAAATTTTTATTATTAATTAATTGGAGATTACTACCCGTTACTAACAATATTTTTTAATTAATTATAGTCTAGTAATAATAGTAAATTTAAATTTAATCTCCACTATAAATTTATTCATTATAATTATTTATCTTTTTATTTTATCCTTATTTTAATTTCTTATCATGTAACAATATTTTGAATAATAATAAACTTCTTACAGTTTTCTGATTCTTGCTAAATGGCGATATTGCAAGGTATCATTTCGGTTAATTAATAATTATGGCTTGACTTTTGGGCCACTCTTAAATTGCTTTGCAAATAAAATCAAAGCGAGTTTGCAATCAGCCAATAAATGAATGTAAATGTCCGAAATAAATTGATCACAAGTGAATAAAAAGAATTTTATAGCCTTGTAAAAGGCCATCTATTTACAGTACAGTTATCTGGTACTATTAAGTTGCTTTCAGATTCGTCGAGATCCAAGAAAGAGACAGTAACCGAGAACTAATGTAAATTTATAAACTAATTAATTGACAAACCATTGTCTTGTTCTAAAGTGATAGTGGTGCTAGTCACTAGTAGACTTAATTGGATCGACTGGAGACTAATACGTGCCCTACAATCTTTATCATAAAGTTCATTTTGAGTAAATTATTCTGCAGTATAACACAATGATGAATTATCGTGTGCATTTTCCTAATTACGCGTTATACTACCAGTTTGGCTTCACTTGAGCACGATGCTTTCTATGTTTGTTAATACACGTCTTTGGTACTGGCACTAATGTTGTTTGACGAAATGTTAACAAAGTTGTAAAGCTATCACGTCAAATTCGCTGCCATATGACGCAAATAAAATTGCTATAAAATATAAAAATTCACAAAAAAAACTTATAAATATGTATTCAAGGTCTTTTTTTTTATATTTTTCTTGTATATCCCAATCTCTTCTTTTGTTTTCCAAGGAGCTAAATTTTTCTTTTGCTGAATACAAATTCAGTTTTCACACAATCATTTACTAATTTACTCGAGGATTAATAAACGTGGTACATGATCGGGATCATCGGTTAGGGATTTGGTACTTTGCCAGGGTCAACTATTTTTAATATATAATTATCAAATGAAATTTTACGCAAAAGCTATGGAAGTTTTTATAATATCAATATTGATTGATTAAGTTACTTTACAAATAATCATCCCATCTTTATCTATTATTAGTTATAGTGATCATTAAGAATAACTTCTGGTATTTGCTTGAAAAAGCATAACTTCTGGTTCTTGCTTGAAAAAAGCAGAGGAAAA